CCTGGAAAGTGCTGCAGATTTCTTGGTACCAGACTTCCCTGTCTGTGGGCAGGTGATGCGCCTGGCCTCGCACTTCCTGCTGTTGTCCCATTGTGAATACTCCAGAAAATTCGGCAGCAAAGTGCCTGGGAAGAGTTTCTGTCAGTGTGAATGATTCTTCTATGTATTTCCTCCTGGAGGCATAGAAGCCATCTCCAGACTGTTCAAACTATGGGTGATGTGTGTGTGCACCATCACAGATGTGCACTTCATTAGGCTTTGTGAACAAGAGCAGCAACGTTACTTACCAGTCTGAATGATCTCTCCATGGTTGTGGTGCTTCAGAATAGCTGAAATTATGTGCTTGTTCTTGGTCTGTTCTGACCATCCTACTTATTTCTGATGATTTTTATCGAATGAGAATGAAATGAAGCACTTTTAACCTATTTTCTGGCTTCTTGTGACACAGAGGCTGGCCTCAGTTGATGTCAGCTGGTAAATGCTGCAGCATCACGGTGCTCAGCCGTCGTCGTTTGCTTTCACTGAGCAAATAAGCAAATACACACTTATCAAGGCTATTAGATATGAGGTAGAAGGATATTTTTAGACTTAGATCTCTGGAATTCTGAAATCTTCCTAAAAATCTTTATGGCCAGCAAGGGAGCCCAGTGGTGTGGTTACTGATGTGGTGGTTGGTCCCGTTCAAGAGCTAAAGGAGTGTGATGGCGCGTGGTTCCAAATTCTGGTTGGGTTTTTAGGGCTGTATAAATTAGCTTCCAAAATAGAATCTGTTGTGGCAGGAGGGAAGAAGCAAAATGCCCCGTTGCTAAGGAACATGACAGAGAACTGGGAGATGTGACTCAGTTCTTGGCTTTGTATGATTTCTCTCCAGTAAGATGTGGGTCCACAGAGCACGTCTTGCTAAGTGTGAAGGGAAGGATATTAAAAATATTGACTGAGTTTTTAAGAAGAGCTCGAGAGATCTGCTCTGAGGGGAAGCAGCTGAGCTAAGTCTGCTCAGCAGTGGTTGTGCAGGTAAACCTGTTTGCAGTCAGTGTGCAGGATCAGGAGCATATCAGATAGGTGGCAGCTCCGCTGAGTTTTGATATGTTCCTGGTTCCCATTGCTGCTCTTTCTCTCCCCACAATAGAATTTAATTTTGGAGGAAAATGGGTCTCTGGGGGCTGATAGACTGGAATGATTTCAGCTCGCCTTACTGTAAATCTCTCATCAGAGGGGATGGATTTCCTTTCATTTCGCAATCCCTCGCTGTGCTTTTTTTTTTTTTTTATGACATTCCCACACCTCTTGATTCCATCTTTGATTTTGTGTCTGGGTGTTGCAGTTTGTTGATGTGTTATGACCCAAGCACGTGGCCCTGCTTTGCCCTTAGCTCTGCAGCAGCTCTTAGCAGGGGCTGCTTGGGCTCAGCTGCACGCAGCTCCTGGGGGGAGCAGGAGAAACAAACAGTGATGTGTGCTGGAATGTGGGTCAGCGAGCAGCTCAGATCTTCTCCCAGAGTCCAATTGTCTATTAGAAAACATGCTGCTATCAACAATCCCGTGGAGGGGGTTTATTTCCAGGAGTGGGTTGGAAGGGGACAGGCAGTGGATGTGTGAGGATGTGCCATAGGAAGCTGCCATTATCCTGCTCGAAGTTTGGTGCTGTGTGTCTGTGAGCACTTTGCTCTTATGCGCGCATAAACTGCAAGTGCTGAGAGCTGCTCGTGTCTGCTTCTCTTAATTTCCCCATTCTCTGAGAAGAGGCAGGAGATGCTCTCCCAGGATGCAAGTGTCTCATCGTACAACGTTGTCTGTACTTTATTTTGTTCTCAGACTGCTGCAGTGAGAAATGACTGAAAAGGAGAGGGGAAAAGCGCAGAAAGATTTGGTTACACAGTCAGGCTGCGTTTATTGAGAGAATTCTCCTCTTTGGTCCCCGTGATTAAAAGCCAAGGGGTCAGGAGGCAGAGCTCATTCTGCTTGTGCTGCAGTGGACAACAAATAATTAAATACTACATTTCAGAAATGGTCTCCCTTAGAGTTTCACAGCCCATCCATGATACTGCTGGTTCAGCAGGTTGCTTTGATCCAGCTCACTTCCATGATTCAGCTCCCAGTGCAGCCCTGCAAGGGGATGCGGGAACCCAGAAGGAGTGCTGCGATGCTCGAAGGAAGGTGGGCAACTCCTCAGTGTGTCCTAAGTGATCCACGTGGGCACTCAGCCCTCAGTAACCCAGGAAAAGCACTTTGTGCTGATCTGCAGCCATGAAAGCGCTTTGAAGCAGCTGCTGGCTGACACATTTCTCCAGGAAACGAGCTGCATAAAGAATATCCTGAAGTGCTTTACAGTCTGCGGCATGAGGGCGAGCAAGCCCTGCTTTTAATGAAGTAATTGTTATTTAATAGTTTTTATCAATGTCAGGGGAGTTTGGGGCCTTGCTTACACTACAAAGACTGGGTGGAATGGCAACAACGGCACAGATTGATCAGCGATGGCAGCTTCCCAGAGCCACAGCAAGCCTGGCACGGAGCTCTGCTGCTTTTCCCTCCGTGCACAAAGGCTTTGGCCAGCACAGCTGTGGCACTGAAGGGTGTGGTATTTTTTGCACTCCTAATTGACGTATTCTTGCCAGCAAAACTTTAAAAGTAGTCCAACCTTGGGTTATTTTTTGACTGTTATTATTTTTTCTCGCAGCCATTCTCACTGTGGCTGACAGTTTGCCTTTGCTTGCTTGGCCAAACCTGCCCTTGGAGGGAGATCAGCCCTCTTCTTTCTAGGAGAGCTGCAGCTTCTTGATAAACAACTTGTTTTACAGCGTTTGCATTTGAGATGGAAAGTAATGTGGCTAAATATTAGGATTTTCGCTTAGTTGTTTTAGTTATTTCTGTTGCTGATTCTGCAGCCCCAGGAATGTACAGATAGGCTGATGAAGAAGAGTAGGAAAGGGTTCAGTAGTTTGTCCAGATTTCCATAGCCTGGAACAGTTTTAGGTCTGTTTCTGGTGTAGATCCTCTCCCTGGGTCCATTATGTTGTTGCACTCCTCAGTTTGGGCTGGCAGAGCTGGAGCACTGGGTTGGCACATTGATGCCCTTGCTGCTGCTGGAGCTGACAGCAGAGGTTTTGGTGCGGTGTTCTGAAGTAGAAAACATTTATTCTGTGGAATTCTTGGTAGCAACCTGGGTGTCAGTGTTTATACAGAAACTGGGACTGCTGTGCTAGCTTAATCAAAACAGAAATGAATCAGAAATGAAATCTCTTTGGATATGCTTTGCTGGTTTGAGGGTCAAATGATGCCAGAAGAGCTGGAAGTGGGATGGAAAGCATTTCTCCTTTATTGCTATTGGCCCCAAGACAGCAAACCTGACAGCCTCCTGTGTTCTTGTGATAGCTTATCCTGATCAGACACCTACGTGCTTTTTTTGTTCCTTTTGATAAACTGTCAGCAAGGAGAGCAGTGCTGGAGTTCTCTCACATTTTCTCCCCCCACTCCAAAGAAGCCTGACTCCTCTTATCAGTGAATCATTCCTGCCTATGTGTAAGCCCCAGAAGTTGCTTAAGGCTGAGAAACTCTCCCAGGGAGGGCAGTGATTCAGAGAAAGCTGTTTAAGCAAGGAAGCATGCAGCTGTTCCCCTGGGCTGGGATAGGCAAAGCTTGGGTTCCTTTGTCTGCCCAACCACTGCCTGGCTCTGTCATGGATTGCTGCACTGTGTTTGCAGGGCTCTGCTTAATGGTGCAGAAAACACAACAGTTATTTTAACCTGTGCTGAGCAGCCTAAGAGCAGATTGATTCTGTCTGAAAAGGGTCTCCGTTGTGCACAGAGGTGTAAGTGTGTGTCAGTGCCAAGCAAAGCACTCCCTGGCATCACTGCAATGTATGCACTGCACTGTGCTGCTGGTCAGAGGTGCTGCCACAGAGTCATCATTTCTGCAGCATTGGGATTGGATGTTTTTCTCAGTTCTTCCATTATCTGATGGATTTGGTTTTCATTAAGTCAAGCAAGAACTGCATGCATTGTGTATGAAATGATTCAGTGAGTACGTGTGTATTATTTGTCAGACTGGTAGAAAGGTCTGTACTGGGTCTGCCAGCCCTGGAGGCATTATCACAGCATCCCAATGGTGTAACCCTGTATGGCTGCACACAGGTCAGGATGAGACTCTGCCTTTGGGCAGGGCTGGTGGGAGCTGATAAAGGAGCTGTTACTGCACTGTCATGGGCACAACCAAAATCTGCCCCAGCTTTGTTTGGTGTGTCAGCATGGTCTGCTCGTTTGTTGTGTGTAATTAAAGAGCCCCATCAAACTGAAAACATTCCTGTAATTAAAGTCCCCATCATCACAGTTTGTCCTGCTCACTGCTTCTACGTTTCATTAAATGTTTTGGTTGGAGTGCTGAGAATGCAGACCTGGGTTTTGCTGGGGATGTGGGGATGTCAGGTGTTCAGATGTATTTTGGTGCTGCGTATCACTGTGGTGCTGTCAAGCTGCTAAAAGGGACCTGATGCAAAAGCATGTTTTGCTAGCTCAGCCTTGTTCCTTCTGCACAGGTGAACACTGCAGCATGGTGCTGCCCATCCATGGGCACTAATTCTCACCCAAAGCCACATTCCAGATCAGTGTTTCTTTGTGTTAAATGCTTTCCTTACAGCTCCCACGTCATCTCTGCTGCCCAAGAGTCAGAACAAAAGCCAACTCTTTATTACCGGACTTTAGAAAATGTCTTTTATCTGCATGACATAGAGTCATAGAATGGCCTGGGTTGAAAAGGACCGCAATGATCATCTAGTTTGAACCCCCTGCTATGTGCAGGGTCACCAACCAGCAGACCAGGCCGCCCAGAGCCACATCCAGCCTGGCCTTGGATGCCTCCATGGATGGGGCATCCACAGCCTCCTTGGGCACGTGATTGTTAGTAGTGTTCTTACAGTTTTAACTTGCAACATCGGATGTGTTGTGCTCGGCCTCGTCCAACTGAGCCCAATCTGAAACGAATTACTTTCTTCATTTTGTTGTGCAGTGTCAAAGAAACACGGCAAGCTCATCACCTTCCTTCGTTCCTTCATGAAGTCCCGCCCAACCAAACAGAAACTGAAACAGAGGGGGATCCTGAAGGAAAGGGTGTTCGGCTGTGACCTGGGAGAGCATCTGCTCAACTCTGGCCAGGATGGTAAGGAGCAGCTCAATGCTGATTTCTTCCTCTGCTGAGAATGTAAACGTGAAAAAGGGATCATATCTAGCAATGGGCAGGTTGGTACCAGTGGAGAAATATGTGATGGGAATTGATGGCTGAAAGATTAATTGAGGCTAATACTAATTGGAGGCGAACGTGATGGTTTGGCGTGGGAGCACTGGAGATGAGCTCTCCATCTCTTGAAGTCTTTGAATAAATGCTAAATATTTTTTTGGCAGGGAAATAAACATTGCTGTGTATGTGAGAGGATTCACTGTTGTGGTGAGAGAAGAGTAGATGGAGAGGGTAAAAGTGAGATGGAAGGGCAACAGCTGAGAGGTCTGATGCTTTGTTAAATGAACTGAGGCAGCGGGCTCAAGTGGTGTAGCTGGAAGTTGCATTGCATGTCTGTGCACCCAGAGGGAACGTGCAAACAAAGCAGAACGTGCAAACAACCTCCTGCAGAATGTTGTCTTTCTGTGAGCACAGCCAGCAGCACTCTCCTTCTGCACCTCTGTCAGAAGGAGAATGCATTGGCATGAGGTGTCCAGGAGGAAAGTGATACAGCAGTGATTTTATTGGTGCAACAGGAGTCCAGGTGACAGCATCCTGCAGAGCTCCGTAGGTGTGCTCTGCTTTCAGCTCCCTGATAGGCAAAGCTTTATCTTAGTTCCCCTGAATTTTTGAGTTTGGGCTTCACTGAGGCAGAAAATGCATCTCAGGCTGGCGTGACAGAACTTGTGTCTGCAGAACTGCAGGACATAATGGCTCTGCTTACTGGAGTTTCTCCCAGGGGAGGGTGGCTGGGTGTGATAGGATGCAAGCAGGCTGTTGTTGCTATTGCCTTTTCGTTTTTGATGATGCAATTTGTCAATTTTTTAATTGTTGTGTAGGCACCTGAGAAGTAACCCTATAAACAGGCATAGGGAGGGAGGTAAGGATGGTAAAAAATGTTTGCAAGAACAGCAGTAGGGATGAGTACTGCGCCTTAAAATCTCCCTTTATGACTGGTGACTCATGTTGGGGATTGCAGTGATTATGGGCTGGCAACTGTAACATCCTGGTTTAGGGTTCAGGTTTGTGTTGTTTTTTTTTTTGTTATTTTTTAAATTCCAGTTTGTAGTGTGTTTACACTTTGGGCCATTTTGTGTTAGTGGTACACGGGCACATTGTTTGCAGTGAAAGCAGCATAGCCTGCCCTTCTAGTTCCATGTGGAAGTGCTGACTGGTGGGATGATGTCTGTAGGAGTAAAACCAGTTTTGATGTGAGGGATTTTTGACTTTTCTCTTGGGTTTAAATCTAGCCAAGGCCATGGTGGTGCACCCCTCAAGCATGCTGCCTTATGCAATCCACACCCAATGGCCATCTCAGCCTGCCTTGGGAGCACCATCTCCATTTAATTTTAGTGCATTACTCATTTGTTGGCTCTTCTGGGCTTTGAGTGCTTTCCCTGCCGCCACTTGAAAGCAGACCGTGCTCAGCAGGGAGCAGCTCATTCTGCATCATCCTGAGGGACATTCCCAGTGCAATCTGTGCCCCTGGTGCTTTGTTGTACAGAGCTGCAAGGTGCAGCAAATCCAGCGCAGTCCCCAGTGGTGAAGTCTCTGTGCCCTCAAGTGAGTAGGCAGCCTTTTATTTCCCCTGATTTTTTTTCTCTCAAAGGAAACCAAACAGAACTGAAATGTAGCCCGACCCCAATTAGACAGATCTGTGCTGGTGGAGGATGTGTTTGTTTAGCGTGGGAGCTGCTTAAATGCTGCATTGCAGCATCCGTACCGCGTCCTCAGTTGCGCCTCAGAAGGTTGGGGAACATTTCTGTCCCTGCTCTGTGGCTGCACACGGTGCTGTGGTTGCTGTGGGCTGTGCAGGGGCTGCTGATGGAGCCCTGCAGGTCCTGATAGCAGCTGGTTGGGTGCTGCACTGAGATGCAGCGAGCTCCTGGACCAAAGCTAAGGGATCCCTGTGCAGGGATGTGCAGGGTGTTCAGGTGTGTGGGGGATAACGGGCTGGAATCACTTGGATTACAGAGGCTGAGGTGTAAATCCTGGCAGTTGTTTGCCTGCACTGAAAAGCTCCTGTTGCCCTACACTGGATGGAAATATTGCTTCTCTCTGGGCAGTTGGAGTTGGGTGCAGGCTAACCCTGATGTATCCTCTTACTCATGACAAAATCCATCCAGCAAAGTCAGCTCTATTCACAGTGGATTTTGTAGGCTAAAAGCAAATGATGTGTTTTGTTCCTCCTCTTGTCTGCGTTGCATTGATACATCTTTGTGCATTTGCTGCATTGATAGTTTATCAGCTTCCTTAACTGGACAAGGAGGGTGTAGAAATGGCACAGTTTATGATTTCCAGTTTTCCCATCAGAGGAGCTGTAATCTCCTCTTTGTGCTTTAGATGCAGGAGGAGGTGTTGCTTTTCGTGCTGAAAAATAAAATGCCAACAGAAGACAAAGCTTATTAACGCTCCTGATTCTTGGTCTCTGTTCCTCGCATTATCCCCAATTCCCCAAATTTATTATCAATTATTTGTGACAAGTTGGGCAGCATTGAAAAAAATTAAAGCTGAGTCCTTTCCAAACTGCCTGCATGATCAAATTAGAGCGTACATGATGCTGTTATGTATTGGGCACTGGCAACAACTGCTTACTAGGGAGGGGGTTGTTCTCTTCTGGTGGCTATTGTGCTCTTCAGGTAAGCTTCTTAACAGCACCCACCTGTATCCTAACTTCCCATTGGTGCCACAGGAAAGATAATGCATGCTTACTGCTTTGGTGCAATTCCTAATGCCCTCAGGTAGCTGTGGGAAGAGAGGCATAAACAGAACACTGGGTAAGGGCAGGATTCCTCTCGATGTTACAGCTCACAAAGCAGTAGGTGCACCAGGTGCTTCCCAATGAACCTGCCTTGTAATGCAGATACTGATGAAACTCATCTCCTTTAATAGTATCTGTATGGTACAGTCCTGTTGAGAAGACCAAAAGTGAAGGAGGAGATTCTCTCTGAAATACTTTGTTCAGTTAAAGAGAAGTGGTAACAGGTCTGCCAGGGCCTGAATGAGCTCAGAGGACAGCACTCCTAGGTGGTGAGGATGTGATTCTCCATCCGTAAACGTTTTTCAGTACTTGAAACTTTGAAAGCTTTTTATATGCTTCATGTCACAGAGTCACAGTACACTTCTTATCCTCCCCAAGTCATTTATCTTGTTCTTGAGGAGCCAATGGCAAAGGGGAGATCTGAACATCTGAGCTGTGTGTCAGAGCCCAAACCAGGATCTGATGGACCTCTACCATTTCCTATTTGCTTAATGTTTTGCAGTGAAGAAACACCATCCTACCTCAGCACATTCTCGTGCATCTGAGCACCTGTTGGCCTCAGCTCTGCATGCAGTGTAGACTCAGAAAAAAATGGCTCTGACGATGCATTCTGAGGCAGCACTTATTCCTTAATTGAATTTGCATAATTTCACAGATCTAAACATGTCAAAAAGTGCCACCTGAGCACTTGTGTAAAAGCATGCAGAGCTGCTGTGCTTTGTGTGCCCGGGCATTTCTTCAGAGCTGGCAGCTCTGCACAGACACCCACAGCAGGACGGACCCTGCAGCGGTGGCTGTCCCAGTGTGCATGAGAGTAGAGAATATCCCACTTTCTGCAGATGCACAAACCCCGTCGAGCACCAGTTGATACTTCTAAACGCCAACAGTTCTGAGCTATTTGGGGCAGTTTTCCAACCATAACAAGCGCTGTTATTGCTTCATCATCTGCCCTCTCAATTGCTGGAACTCGAGATTGCTGGGTATGGGGTTAGCATCACAAAGAGGTATGTGGGGTTCCCACAGAGAATTACTTGTTTTTGGGGAAGTAGTTGCAAAAAGGGTGAACTGGGAAGGCAGTACAAGCTCTGGCAGTTAAGAAAAGAGACAATTTCTCAGTCCCCTCCCTTTCACCATGCCTACAGCAGTGAGGAGAGGCATTCTTTATGCCTGAATGACCCAGGGGACAGCAGGGAGTTGAAAATTAATTTGCATTTTGAGACGCTGCAGCTGCAGGGGGAACAAACAGGAGAAAAAAAAAATGTTTCCTTCCACGCAGGAATTGCTGCTCTGTTACCCCTCACTCTGCTCCTGCTTTGCCCCCCTTAACTCACTGTGGTGTGATTGGTCTAAATGGTCTGTGTAGGAATGTATCTGTAGTATATTCATTCCGTTTAACGGGTGCATGCATGCAAACAACTGCAGAGAGTTAAGTGGATACCACCTGGGAGATGGACGTGCCATACAACAACGCCTATCTTGGATGTAAAAGCAGTAAGCATGGCAGCTGAAAGCAGGAATTCCCTAGCACAGATAGACGTGTGATGCTGAGCATGTTGCTGACGTCACGGTGCTCTGTAAACATGGCTGCCTGCCTGCCAGCTTGATGCAGCATGGTGAGATTTATGTTTCTCAGACCTTGCCCTTTTTTTTCTGTTACACAGTTCCTGGACAAGCTGCCATAACCAAGCAGTCCCATCTTACACAGCAGAGGGCAGTGCCAGAGGCTGACTCCGCAGTGAGCACTGCGTGGTAACCAATCTGTGTTTTATGGCCCCTCTTCTTTATCACAAGGGATGCAGAACACGGGTCACACCTTCAAATAAAAGTGTTGCATATTGCTAGGAAATAGTGCAGCTTGTGCTGCTTTGGACTTTACTCAGCACCTCAGCAGTACGAATCCTTACAGTGTGGGTCGCTTCTGCAAAGTCAGGAAGGGAGCATCTCTAAGTCGCTGTTTGTTTGGTTTTGTTCTTCTCTCTTAATCCTGGTGATTCAAACTTAAGGACACAGATGTAGAATGAGCCAAAGGTCCCAGGAAGAAAATATTTCAGAGTTAGCTTTTCTGTGGCTACGTGGGGAGTGTTGCTGTCTGTATGCTTGTAAAAACATGTGCAGGCGATGCCCTGGGTGGAAATACTTGGATATTTCTTTGAAAAGTTGAGCTAAAAATAGGAGAATGTTTGGGATAAGAGCAACGCTATTTATTGAATATATTCATTGGTATGTTCTTAGACAACCTTGGGTTTGTGCAGTGAGGGAGATGGATGTGTTTGGCTTTACCTTTGTGCTTGGGTGGCACTTGGAGCTGTTCATTTGCTGTGCTTGGTGGGTGACAGGTTTTGCTTTCTGCGTTGGTTTGCTGTGTGTGAAATTCAGCTGAGCGGCTGCATTTCAGCAGGCTGTGGGCCATTAACCAGCCAAAGGCCTGGCTTATGTGGCAGCACACCTTATTGCTGTAATAGGGTGGAAATGATGCTGTTAGAGGGGAGCTTGATGGGAGGCCTCATTCCCCAGGCTGAACAAATAGTTCTGATTCCAGAAATGCACTGGAAAAATAAAAATCCAGAGAGAGAACATTACAAATGATTAAAAAGGGAAAAACAAAACGAAACAAAAAACAACAAGATGGTAGGAGAGGAAATGTGTCTGATTTCAAGATGAATCAAGTTGCTCTTCGGAATGAAAACCGTAAAACTTCTGCCTCCTCTTAATGGGGAAGAATTAACCAGTTGATGAGCCTTAAGAGATGCAATAAACCTTTCATAGTACCGAAGAGATGCTCAGGAACAAGTTGAAGCAATTCTTCCAGCTGCTGCAGGGATGCAGTCTGGCAGGGCTTTGGCTGGGGCAGACATTCCTATTGTTTGGCCACAATGCCAACGTGGTTGGAAAAAGCAATGGGTAAGGGATGGAGGGAAGGAAGGTGGTGGATTTTGGAGCAGGATGTGTGTGCAGTGCTCAGAGCCTCACCAAGGGAAGGGGCTCAGATGCAGCAGCTGGAGGCGGGTTTGGCACACTGCGGTCAGTTGGTGACAGCACTGCAGGGAGACGGCGTAGCTCAGGGTTAGGAATGAGATCAGAGGTTGATGCAATGCTGCCCCACAAATGCATGGGGATTTGGATCTGCAAAGGGCTGTGTGTGGGGTCAGTGAGCATGGGCAGCAGTCCTGTGCCCCCACAGCAGGGACTGGTAGGCATAGGTGCCTGCAGGAGGCACAGTGTGGGTAGTTGTGGCAGAGCTCACGTTTGCACAGTGAAGCTGTGGCCTGTGCTGTCTTCCTGATGCTTTGTTCTGGTGGCAACAGATGATTCTTCCCATCCATACACATATGTAAGTGTGGATCTAGCTAAAGGGCTTAGAATTCAAAGGGGAGAGGGCGATTAAATACACTTGTCAGGTGTCATCTTTGTTCAGAAATCAGAAAAATCGAATCACCATTCCAGCAAAGGGCCTTCCACTATAATTAAGGCCCTACTTTGTAATTCAGTCACTTCTTCAACCATGCAAAATTCCCCCCAAAATATCTGTGGTGCTGGCATGATATATTTAGCTTAAAGAACAGATCGTCCTGGCAACCAGATTAGGAAATGCGTGGAAGAAGCCTGCTGGATGTTTTCAGTGTGCATTAATTCTGACTGTGCCCAGCCCTTCCGTGATGAGTGCTGTGTGCTGTTGCTCCTGCAGCCCCCTCCTCCCCTCTGTGCTCCCCTGACCCCATTCACAGTATCACAATGGGTCGCTGCTCAGATGAGCGGGGACATAAATACCGCTCTCACCATGCTGTGTGTTTACACAGCTAGATCAAGCCCAGAAGGAGGGGCAGAGAAAGAGGGGGGCTGCGTGGTCTGCCCCTGTGCTGTGTGGTGTCAGCCTCCCTGGTGGGAACCAGCCAGGCAGGGAATGCACCATTTATTTGCTCATTTCTTTCAGTGGGTGCTGCTGGTTTTGTGGGACATCCCACGTTATCTTCCTTTGTCTGTGTGAAACTGAGCGCTGATGCCGTGTGTTTTGCAGTCCACGGTGCTCTCCTTCCTCACCCTGTGTCAGCATCAGTCCCTTGTCCACCTCAGGGGAGGGTGCTGTGCTCGTCTCCCATCTTTCTGCATCCATTTATACCTGGGCCATGCTTGTCTAATGCCGCAGTGCAACACAAGGCACACTGTTGCCTTTTTTGGCAATTGCTGGAGTATGGTGCAACTCCTACCCTATCTGCTTTACACTTTAGAACTTTTTTCTTCAAGAGGTGTGGAATTTTATTATTATTATTATTATTTTTTTTCATAAAGATTGTGTCCTCTAAAAATGCTTCTTGAAACCGTATTCTGGTGTAGGGCCATCTGTTCTGCCTGCCCTGCTCTCAGACATTCAGCTGATGGCACTGAGGACCCATTCCAAAATGAGGAACACACATTCTGCCTGGCTGGGCCTGCGTGGTTCATTCTGTTGTGTGCCCAAGTGTGGAGCAGACGTGCCCATAACCCAGGGTGCTTCTGCTGACCCCCATGGAACCACTTACAACTCTTCTCTTGCTGTTTGTCTGCATCTCTGTTCGGCAACACTTAGGAAAACTGAGTGGCAGATGGCATTTGCTGCTTGATAGAAGGGGATTTGCCATGTGACCTATTGAGGATCAGACTTAGCATCTCATGTAAGAATAAATCTCGATCATCATAGGAGTTGTGGCACAAAGGTGTTTGGTGGAGGAATCCACACGAATGTGGGCTTTGCCCTGCAGGTTTGCTGTTGTTCACAGGAGCTCAGTCCTAATTTTCTCTATGCTTAGAGAAGTTTTATCTCCCTATGGTAGATAACATGATGTGCTCCTCCTCAAACCTACAGATGGACAGATATTCAGGCAGTGGATGCTGCGTGGGGCTGAAGTCAAATGGAAAGAATCAGTTGGTGAAGTGGCTTAGGTATTAACTTGACACCTAATTATATCTTCTGGGCTTATTTTTTCCATTCTGTCATACCACGGTCTGTCTGCTCTTTCTGTGAGTGTGGTTTGTTGTGTACTTTGGGGAGGAAATTACCAGTTGTAAACACTGCACTTTCCCTTGTGCAGAAAGCAGCATCCACTCAACATTTGTAGTTGCTGAAACCAAACTGTGTAAATCAATCCATGTTGGTCTGGAAACAAAGGGAGCCTTTTGGCCAAAGAGAGCATATTGGATCAGTTTCATAGCTCTTCTGGACATGAGATTCAACACCACCGTTCTTGTGGGAGCTGTGATGGGACTTGCAGTGTCTCTGGCTTCACCAGAATGACTTTCTCCAGGCTGATTCATAGGTCCTGGCACTTCTTTAAAGCAAAGAACTCACCTCTGTCCAGTTTCCTCACCAGCAGTGACATCTCTGACAGCTTTCTCCTCTAAGGAAGAACCAAGCAATGGAGCCCGGCTGGGCTTAGTGGATGGGATGTGACAAGAGCACAGCCTGAACCACACTTGAATAACAAGCTCAACTAACTGCTGACACTTATTCTTTAGTCCCCCAGGTCCTCAAGAGCTGCACTGAATTCATTGAGAAGCATGGCATTGTGGATGGGATATACCGCCTGTCCGGTGTCGCATCCAACATCCAGAAACTGCGGTGAGTGACAGAGCTGTCAGTGGGGCTGGGATGGGACACGTGCCATGTTTGGGGTGTTCAGAGGCCTGTTCAGAGGCAGCTGCATGCAGGCAGTGTGTGCTCAGCAGTGCTGTGCAGGGCTTGTTGCTGTTCTGTAGGAACACGGGGTGTTCAGACTTGCTGGTGCAGGAAGTTCTCCTTCAGGACAGAGCATTGGAAGGCTCTGGGTCTGCAGTGTCGCTGCTGTCAGGTTACATTCCCGTTTCCTTTTGTTCCCAGAGCCCTTTTGAGCAGCTGATGTTTCTCCTTGCTGATTTGGGCTCCTGGCATATTAGCAATTAATTAGTGACGTGTGATGGAGCACTTGCATAATCCTTGGTGGGTGGCATTGCTGTGTGGGGGATGGCAAAGTGCACCTCACCCCTGCTTGGGAGCTGCTCGTGTCACCATTTATGTCCTTTATCCTTTTGTGAGGCTCTGGATTTTTCCTCCCCTCGCTTGCTGTGCTTTCTTCTGTTGTGAAGGGACTTAGGGAACACTGTGGGATGTGACCAATTCCAGGCCCTCAGAGGCAGCAAAGGGGTATTTTCCCTATGGAGGATATCCTTTTTGTACCAGCTATTTCCAAGTTAAATGGACAGCTTTGAGCCGGCACACTTACTGTACGAGCCCTTGTATGGAGGGGCTTATTCTGGTTCGGCTTAATCCTGTTTTTTCATCACAATTTTGAAAATCTGCTTGTGAGGCTTTGCTATGAGGGCTCCAAGGACCCTGCCTGTAGCTGCTGTGCACAGCAGTCTGCTGAAGAAAATGGTTGTCCTTGCCTCAGTTCCAACCCTTTAATTCCTCGTTCCAACTTGAGCTGGTCCATCCTTTCTGTCACCACTCTAGCCCATTTTTTTTCCCCTTGCTTAGCCATGACCATTTTCAATTTGGATGTACATTTAAAAATGTTTTTCCAGATACATTAACTGCATAATTCCCTGGTCTAATAAAGAGAATGAGGTGATAGCATCCTTCTCAGTTTTCTGGGACAAAAGGAGTGGAATACATGGCATAACTTGTAGACACCGTCCCTGTTCATCTAAATCACTACTGCTTTTTGTAAGCAAAATGTGCCTTGATGAGTCTGATAAGCACAGCAGTGTCAGGTTGGCTTGTTTCCCTCTGCATTCTGGTTTTGGCTTTTTTGGAGATACTGCAAAACTCTCCCGCTAACAAAATCTTCCTTTGGGGAAGGCTGAATGTAAGGCTTCCATTTCCTCACTCCGTGTTCTGCTTCTGCAGGGGTAGTTCTCTATAACGTGGCATGAGATTTCTTCCTCAGCAAATACTCAGGGGTAGCAGGAGGGCGGGATGAGGCCAGGCATCAGCCAGGGCTCAGTTTATTTGTAGGGGTGGGCTGGTGCCTTCCTTTGCTTTTGGTTTTGAGTTCCTTCTTCCGTGGAGGCAAGAGCAGGAAACAAGTTTGTCTTCCAGATGTGAGTAGGTGATGAGTCAGAACACGCCTGTGGGAGCTGTGTAGACTGAACACAGAGGACTGTGGTTGCAGGGAATCCATCAGATGGGGAAAACAGAAACCTTTATTTGCTTCTGTGCCTTCCCTGGGATGAGGACCTGGAGCAGACTGTTCTTATTCTTGTCTGAAGAAGCAGACCTCTCTTCTCCCCTTGTCTGCCCCTTCATGTCCAGGTGCAGGGAGCATCTCCTTCCCCATCCTGTAGGGGATGCACACCTGACACTGCAATTACAAGTACTCCTGGTGCCTTGGGCATGCTAGAGACTGGATCTTCCCTGCAGCACAGAGGCGGCGTCTGAGGCTAAGGCAGGTTGTACCTTCTGTGCTGCACACTGCTTGGCGTGGACAGGGAGGCCAAGATGAGGGTCACCGAGCTCCTGACTTTGCTGCAGTTGGAGTGTAGACAAGCTGATTCCCCGTGTCAACATTAAGCACTTTGGTTTACAGCTTAGAGAGGATTGCAGGGAAACCAAGTCCTGGCTGCAGCAGTCCCTGTTCTCACAGCTCCCTGTGCCTGACTCACCCTGCTGGCCCCTGCAGAGCCAGCCTGCTAATTCAAAACTGCAACCTCCATGCACGTACCCTAACAGCAAGCCAGCTCCTGGCCTTCAAAGCCCAGCATTTCTTTCATAAATGTTTGTGATTTTGTTTTTTTCTCTCTCTAAAAACCAAGGGAATGCACAGGGATCGTCTTCGTGTGGTTCCAGGCACTCTTCACCCCACAGCAGAGGCATGCTCAGCTCACCATTGGACCCAAGGAATTTCTGCATGCTAAAATTTCAGTGGACAGCAGCTGCCAGCAGCGCTGCTGCTCAGCATTTCTTTCTCATTTCAGTTTCCAGGCCTTTGAAATGCAAAGGGAAGCAGTTTTTGCTCTGACCTGCAGGGACTTTTCCTCCAGGCAGCTCTGTGCTCCTGGAAAACATGCTCTGGGGGCTCTGCAAGTTGTTGTAGACCAGGCAATCAGTTGTAAAGCTAACTGAGAATGCCTTACCATAAATAAAAGGTCTATTTTGGAAACATCCAGTCTAGCATGGCTCGTGTGGTGTTGGTGACTAAGTATTTATTTCTTCCTGTACAACCTCTTGCTTTTCTTGGCTGTAATTTTTATTGTTTTGTTGTTTTTTTTTTTTAAATTCCTCTTTTTTGTGCCCATTTTTGTGTCCTCTGCAGCCATGAGTTTGACTCCGAGCAGATTCCTGACCTAACCAAGGACAATTATATCCATGACATTCACAGCGTGAGCTCCCTCTGCAAAATGTACTTCAGGGAGCTCCCGAACCCTCTGCTGACCTACCAACTCTACGAGAAGTTCTCAGTAAGTACAAGGCAATGTCTTTCATTTAGCTCTCCCAGGGCCTCGTGGTGTGACCTGTCACATACACACACATCTGCTCACCTTTTTTGGTCTAAATTCAGTTTAAGTTTGGGTTATTATAGAGATCTAGAGGATGTAATGTGTAAAACAAGCAGCTCATGCTTCCCACGCACCAGGTGTCCACCTGCTGGTAGCATCCTGCCACTAAAACGGTGGGAAATGGGCACAGTGGTGCCAAGGCCTGAGACCCTTATTCTGTTGCCCCATGAGGTTTGCTCACATGTCACTGCCATGTCCTGCATCACACTGATGCCACGTTTGGAGAATTCCTGCTTTTTTTTTCTATGCCCCAACTATTCATAGAACAGGAATGGTACTTGGAGATGGATGCCCACTGCAGGGAGCTGAGCTGCACAGTCAGGCTGTAAACCGGCCCAGTGCTTGGGTTCCTCATCCTTTTATCACATCAGCTGCATACACCTCTATCTCCCCAAGATGCCTCTTGGAAGGCAGAAGGGCTCAAAAAATCTGCCTCAGTGCTAACGAGCAGCGCATTGTCCCCATATTTCCAGATCCTGCAGCTGCTATTTGTGTCTAAATCCCTTTCTGTGTTCTTCCAGGATGCTGTTTCTGCTGCTACAGACGAGGAGCGGTTGGTGAGAATCCACGATGTCATCCAGCAGCTGCCCCCACCTCACTACAGGTCAGTGCTGCCCTCGCTCTGCATTGCTGCATTTCAGAGCAGCAAATGATGCCGTTCCGGGTTTTGTCTCATGCTGGCTATGTTATGCCTGTGTACCTTAAAGGGGGTCATGGAGATGGTTTGTAGTTTATTTAGATCATTACCAACCCACCATTATATACTTTGTGAAGTCTTATTTTACTTCCTCTGAAGTCCATGCAGGAGGGACATCCATGCTGAGGAGGTCAGAAGTGGCTGATGCCATTGAGGAGGGCCCATTTTTGGGTCAGTCCCTCAACATGGGGATGCAGCTGGTGGCTGCAGGGGTGCTGCAGTCTGGCACTTAGTATCTGCTTAATATTTAATGCCAGTAGCAATGATGATAATTAACAAATGCTAACACTGACTTAATAACTATTGATAGTGTTTATTGTTTAAATGGCAACGAGCTTATTAGACCAGCATGCAGTAATTAGTATTGATAATATCAATATGTGCTAATTGATATTTGTGACTATTTGTGGTGTGTGATAATTTAGCTCTTACCATTGCAGTGTATACTAATAGGCAATTAGCCAGTATTAATAACTTCTGCACTGTACAAGAAATGTCCTCGTACTACAAAGTGTGGTGATTGGTTTTAATAATAATTTGTCTTGACCATTTTTAATATATTGATTGGTATAAATAATATATGTTAATCTCAAAATATGATTAACTAACTAAATCTAATATATAACTAACTAGTGATAATATTTAGTGTTAACTAAATGTAATGTATGATGATTGGTATTAATAATTTACAGTAAGACATAATTAGCCTACCATAATTAATCTATCATAATGCATGGTCATCAATGTGACCAATCATAATATGATTATGTACATTAGAAATTATGCTTGCAGGTATTCAAATATTGATGAGTAGTGTATGGTAATTAGCTTGACTTATTACAGTGCATGTTATTTGCTAATTAAACGTCATCGAGTGATTTATGTGCTGTATGGGATTTAATACCAACTAAATGTGAGCTGTGGTGATGAAGGAGCATTCAGGCAGGTGCTGAGCTGTGCTGTTTGCTGGGGGCACTGTATGAGATGCAGTGAGATGGGGCTGTGTGTGCTGGAAGGGATGGAGCCCCTCTTCCTCTGCCCAGATTTGCAGTAGCAGTGGTGGGTAATGTAAAAAGCAGCTTTATTTTATTGGTGAAGTTTAACCTGGAATCTGCTGGGCCTCTCTCCTACATCTGTAAGAAAGCTGGAGGCACTCATTGCTTAAGTTGTATTCAGATACACTTTTGCTGGCATCCTGGGCTGTTTGAAGCTCAGGCTCCCCTTACCAGGTTAATATTCAGTGTTCTTTCCTGTAACTCCTGTGGCTCTGGGCAGCCTGATCTGGTGTTTGGTGACCCTGCACACATGGCAGGGGGGTTGAAACTAGATGATCATTGCGGTCCTTTTCAACCCAGGCCATTCTATGATTCTCTGAACTCTCAATAAACGTTGCAGAATGATCAAAATGCTTCATAAGTTGCATTTTAGTGTCATGGGGTGGTGATAATGCAGCAACATGATGAAGTTCCAGGGTGCTCTGCTGGTGGCATTTGGCTGATCCCCCTCCACCTCCTTGTCTGCTGGATCCAGTCCTGTGGCAGAAAGCAGCTTTTTCCTTTGCCCTGGATGACTCAGAAGAGACCCCCCCCCCATGTAGCTGTTATGATAAGGACAACTTCACCATTCTTCTGAGGATGCACAGTGCAACTTTTGTTTTGATTGGTTACAGTAGGAAAAAAAAAAGAAAAGAAAATGCAAACAATGAACTGAGGTTCGTTTTGTCAATTGCAGCATGGCACGCTCATTGATGCTGAACATTTGTGCCTCTCTTGTTTTCCAGGACACTGGAATACCTAATGAGACACTTAGCTCGTTTAGCTGATTACTGCACCATCACAAATATGCACGCGAAGAACTTAGCCATTGTTTGGGCTCCAAACCTTTTAAGGTAAACTTGTTTTTCTTTCCATTTTGAGACTTATATCTGTTCTCCAGAAAAAGGAAACCACAACAATCTGACCCTTTTCTCCATCAAACGTGCTTTTCTCTTGTCACATGTCTAATAAGTTATACTCAGAGCAGGGGAAGAGCCTGGACTGTTCTCCCCCTGCCCCACCAGCACAATTTCCAGATGATAATTTCCCCTGTATGGAACTGGTTTGTCCTTGATCATCCAGGAAAACTTGTCCAGTGGCATCACTGATTTCCCACTGCAGAAATCTCCAGGCTTTCATCTGACAGCTTTTGGCTGCAAAAATTCAGATTCGGAGTCATTTCTCCAAGATCATTTCCCTACAGTTTGTTTTCCATGTGCCTGACGGGGTGTTCTAAAATTAATGGTGTAATTTTAAAATTTGTGCTTTAAAAGAAAGAAAGAAAATCACCCCTGGCCTCTATTGCATTGATTTCTGCACTGCTTTGTTACCAGCCTGAGAAGTCTGAGTCATAGCTCCCCCTGTGAGCAGTTAATGAGGGAGAGCTATTTTCTCCTCTCTGGCAATTCACTCACAAGCACTCCTTTTAAAAGATCTCATTTGAGTTTGCTGTTATGAATACTGGGATTCTTGCTGAGCAGGACCAGCTGGAGACATTCCCTGCTGGAGGGAAAGCCATGTAGAAGCCCATGCTGGGCTTTGTGCAGTGCCACTGCATTAAACTGCTGCCACTCATTGTTTCTGGAAGGAAGTTAAGGGTGAGCTCCTGCTTTATGTATGCAATACATTTACCTCCATCTGGACCTGCCACACTCTTCTTTTCCTTTTTGACCCAGTGTTTCTTTTACCTCTTTCAGCCTAAACCCAAAATCTGGGTACGTCTTAGTTTCAGCTGGGATGGAATTGTTTTGTTTTTTTTTTTGCAGTGCCATGTTATGGTTCTAAGAGAAAACCAGCTCTGGTTAGCTGATGTTCATAGTTACTGCTAAGCAGTGCTGTGCAGAGCCAAGGCCGTTCACAGCAGAGAGCCCAGGGAGGGGGGGAGCAGGATGAGGACAGCTGAGTGAAACTGATAAAGGAATATTCCATCCCATATGGCAAGGAGGTTTTGAAGGGGGTGGGAGTTCATTCCTTCCACTGCTCAGAGGCTGGCTGGGCATTGCTGGGGGTGGTGAGCAGTACGTAGTTGTAACTATTTTTCTTTTCCTTTTCTCTATCTTAATAAATGGTTTTATCTCAATCACCAGTTCTACTTGTTTTTCCCCTGATTCTCTCTCCTGTCCCATTGGGAAGGCAGGAAGTGAGCAAACAACTGCATGGTGCTGAGCCACCTGCCAGGTTAGCCACAGCAGGGTATAAATCACTGCAGTCAGTCTGATGTCTGTATAATGCTTTGATGAGATTTCATCTCTTGTCTGTCCCTAATGTCTTGTCTGCCTGTGCAGTGAGGCATAACAGTTAACATGAGCCAAAGCCTTACCCAAGGGGTGCACACCTTCCCACTCTTCTGGCTGGATGCAGTGGTACTTAATCTGCCTTTTCTTCAGATCAAAGCAGATTGAGTCTGCCTGCTTCAGTGGAACAGCTGCCTTCATGGAGGTGCGGATCCAGTCAGTCGTTGTGGAATTCATCTTGAACCACACAGACGTCCTCTTCAGCTCCAAATTCAGCTCAGTCATACGAGATGGAGCAGGTGAGGATCTTCCTCCATTAGCTTTACCTTGATCAAAAACAGTAGCAGACACTTAATGGAAATCCTCCACAATATCTGAACTATGCTTTTACTATCAAGGAGACAACAGATTTCCAAGGTTGTATAAGAATATGGCAAACATGGCCACCATCATCATTCTCAAATAGCTCAGGATGCTGTACAACAACATACATGGGAATGTTTGGCTGCTGCTGTTAGGTCCTAGCACTGAAAAGCCATACAGAATAACTTAAGTCTGTTCCCCATTGCCTCTCTTTTTAAAAACCACTACTCATGTTAGATGAGTAAACGTGAAGAGCACAAGCTGTTACTATTCCACAGTTTGTTGCATCTGCTTTGATAAGCTGACCTTCCAATGAATTTTGCACAGCAGTTATTAACACCTGTGGAGTTTACAGAGCTGCTTTCCTAGAATATTTGTTGCTTCCCATTTTTATACAAGCATTACTCTACTTTGGACAGCGCAGTTGCTGCAAGTCCAGCTTTTGTTCCTGCTGGAAGGCAATTTTTGTGTCAGGACCAGAGGTTAGCTTGGCTGGGAAAGGACAGCCCACAGCAGGTGGAGCTCTGCCAGGGGAAGATCAACATGCAAAGAACCTGAGCCAAATGATCATCCAGGCTTTAGAGTGGAGCGTTTAAATTTGGCTGATTGTTTAATGACTCAGGCTCACACTGTCTGCTTTACCACAAAACTGGGGGGCGGAAGGGTCAGGATGTCTTGCACTGCATCAACTAAGCTCAGGAATACTGAGCTCTGGCAAAGCAGTCCTCAGCACAGCATCCCAACCTGTACCAGGCTGATAGAAGCAAAAGCATTCCACATCCTGCTTTAAGCCATCCCAAGTTAGTCTAGTTGCAAGACAGCTGGATGTCTGAATACCTGCTTGGTCCGAACTTCACCCTGAGTACACAGGTACAGCTAACAGACACATGAGGCTGTGCACATGTTACCCAGGAGCTGTGATGTTAAAGGAATAAATAGTAGGAATGGATCCAACCAGGATGGTGATAGAAGGGGATGATAGACTTCCTTCCCACACCTCTTACTCACATGAGCATAACCACGTAAATGCTTGCTCTGTAAGCAATGGCAAACAAGGACAGCTCTTAAAGCAGACTCCTCGTGCTCCCTGCAGCACTGCTCTGCACTCTAAGGCTGAACAACAGATAGTAGCAGCTGACATTTATCTCCAAAAACAATCACAGGCTGTAAGCAGGACAAGAGAAAGACAAGCTAGATGCAGTTCTCTGTATCCACCTGCACACTGGTTTGTAGCAGCTTCAGTGTGTACAGCATTTCCTGTTGCCATATCCTGAAAATGCTTAAACCTGAACTTTATAAGAACAAAACTCACTGTCATTATGATGTTTTGCATGGAGATGAAGCTTGATTAAAGTATGGCAGTGAAGATTTCTACCTATTTGACCCAGTTTTCCAGGGTTTTTTTTTTTTTTTTTGTGTGTGTGTGTGTGTGTGTGTGTGTGTGTGTGTGTGTGTTTAATACAGTAAGCTGCTCTCAATTATGAGTTTGTCCTTCATCATAAACATCCCTGACAAAATGGTTGTTTTGACATCATCCTCCAGTGGTTAGGATAGCCAAGTCTTAGTAGAATATATCACCTCCCCCTGAAGTGTGATGGCTGTGCTGCTGCTTTCTGATCCTCCCTCTTATCTGTGGCTTTCCCTTACAGGACACAGTTCTTTATCACGACCCAAGTCTCTGTTGGTGTCTTCTCCCTCCACAAAGCTGCTCACGCTGGAGGAGGCACAGGCGCGGACACAAGGCCAGATCAACTCCCCCATGGTGACAGACAATAGATACATTGAAGTGGGAGAAGGACCTGCAGCTTTACAAGGGAAATTCCACACAGTCATTGACTTTCCATCAGAAAGGTAGAGAGGAGTTTCATTTCCAGCACATTGGTTTGAATATGTTTGTTTTGTTTTGGTTTTTTTTTGTATTATTACTACTGCTAAAACTTACTGAAACTAACGTACACTAATCGTGCATAAAGCATTGTAGGCAATTTCCACCCACTTTGGACTCTTGAGGATTCAATGAACTAACACACAGTTGCCCAGTAGGCTCAGTTTAGCCACACAACAGTGCCATTCCTTCCTTTTTGAGCAGGCAGTCATGAGATGTATAAAGCCATCAGATTTCTATCCTTGCCTGTGCTAGTTGTACATGGAAACACTGGGGTTTTCCAGATCTCAGGACCCTATGCCTGAAACAAACTCTGGTTGTCTAAGCAGACCCATTGGACAGAATTGCTGGCACTGGAAATCAAACAGGGCAGTGGGAGGAGGCTGATGATTTGTTATCACAGCAGAAGAGGTGCTTCTGAATGCCCTGTAAGGCTGCATGGTTCCTCAGAAAGCAGTTACAGAATAAAAGCTGTTCCTTGCATGCTGTACTGTACAGCTGTGGAGCCTTTGCTCGCCTTCACTGCATCTTGCTTTGCATAGATTGGAGGAATTCATGCCAGCTTCAGGGCTGAGCTGTAAGAATGGAAACATCTTTGAAAGAGACCGAGTTTCTGAGGTCTGTTTCAGCAGAGGCTGGGCCATGCTAGGAACAAGTCAGTGGTCTCAAGAGCTCAGCACAGCTCTTCCCTCACCCTGCACCACAACTCACCCCATTCACTCTGTTTTCTCACTCCAGAAAAAGACCGCCCAGTAAGATGAAGAAATCGCCCGTTGGCAGCTGGCGTTCCTTCTTCAACCTGGGAAAGTCATCCTCTGTGTCCAAACGCAAACTGCAGCGCAACCCCAGCGAGCCCTCAGAGATGAAGGTCATAGCCCTGGCAGGTAAGGCTGCAAAGCCAGCTTTCAAAAAAAACAGCAGTGTAGGATTCATGCTTTCAGTGTGCTTGGATCTCCTTCTAGCGTTCAAGCCCGTGCATAGCATCTTTAGTTAACCCATCTTTTCCGAATGTGTTCACTCAGGATCCGGACCTCTTAGAGCACAGCCCTTCTGCCTTTCCTCCGAGTAGCTTTGGAAGGACAGTAAATGAGCACCTCTACAAAGCTCTCAATGTTTTCTTCCAACACTTGCTATGGAAGTTGGAATATGCTTCTGGCACCGTTTTGCTTTTGTCAGAAGACACACATCTAAACTACGTAAAGGCACTTTTCCACAAACATTCCCATAGAAAGAAGGCATCCAGCATCTTTCTGTAGCTACGTAGACTCTGACTTCTCAGCCCTTTCCATATATAATTTACTGTCTCTTTCCAAGTTTAAAAACAGCAACTGTGCATTTTCGCAGAAGAACATACCACAAATCCTGAAGTGTGGCCAGCGGGGAGTTGTGTCCCATCCTCACCCTGATGCCCTTTCAAATTATAACCTCTAGTTTTCAGCGTAACAAACACATTCCATGGCTGTACGTGAAGACAGTCTCCCTTGAGCATTTTAGTTGTGCTTGTTTAGTGCTCATAAAACCAGCTGTGCAAATGCTGCTTGCAGGTTGGAAGGGACCTCTGCCAGCCATCCAGGCCAACCTCCCCCACAAAAACATTGCATTCATCTTAGACTAAATCACATTAACACCATGACAGGATAATGGTTTTCTTCAAGGGCTTTGGAGTGCAAACCAAACAGCAAACAATAAAAGCACAACTATTACTTTCAAGACAGTGGTACCGTTGCTAGAAGCCTTCCTGCCACCACTCCATAATCAAATGTCAACCACTTCCATAATTCAGCTTGTCACTGTCTGGTTTTATTTCCCCAGGGGGACGAGGAGACAGCGGGACTCTTCGCTCAGCTAAAAGCGAAGAATCACTTACCTCTCTGCACGCCGTTGATGGTAAGGCAAAATGTGGGTTTAAAAAAAAAGGTAACATCACTGAGATTGCAGATAAGCAGCAGGGCAGATGCCTGTCATCCCTCAGTAAAAGCTGGACTTGTTAATGAAGCAGCTTATCCAGCCCTGTTGGGCAGTGGTATCAGAGCAGTGCTTTTCAGATCTTTGTTTTTCATCTGAGGGTTTTGTATACCTTTCATTCCTTGCCCTCTCCCCCTTTCTCTTCTAAATTGAAAAAGATAGCATTGGAAGGAAAATGTTTCCTGAGAGAGACAGAACCGCAGCACACTTCAACCCATTTCACTTATGCAAACAGCTCGGTTCCAGACTGAGACAGAGCTGATAACTGCTTTGAAAAGAGTTTGAGCAAACTTAATTAACTATTAGCTATTGATAACTACACTGTTTTTCTTTTTAGAGCTCGCCAGGTGAGCATCTTGCGTGCAATTGAGAAGCACCAAGCCATTGCCTCCTCAGACAGTGAAAGTTTGACACTTAACCCCTATGTATCTATTCATTCCTAGGTGAATCTAACCGGTTTCGACCCAGAAGACCCAGATCCAGTAGTGATGCACTGTCTGCTTCCTTCAATGGAGAGCTCTTAGGAAGCATGAATCGCTGCAATTCTTATGACAACCTTCCACATGACAACAGTGATGGGGATAAGGAGCTCATCCACGTTCCTGCCCTCATTTCTCCTCGCTCTGCCGAAGATGTTGACCTGAGCCCACCAGATATTGGCGTTGCCAGCCTGGATTTTGACCCAATGTCTTTTCAGTGCAGCCCACCCCAAACAGAGTCTGATTGCCCAGACAGCAGCACCTCCATGCTGGAGTCCATCGGCATCAGTAAGGAGAAGCCAAGCCTCTTGAAGAAGGACTTAGAATCAGGCAGCCAGTCCCAGACACCGGGCAGCGCCACGAGCTCTGAGCCAGTCTCTCCATTCCAAGAGAAGATGAGTCCCTTCTTTACTCTGGACCTGAGCCCGACCGAAGAGAAGACCTTCAAACCCAGCGACACCTCGCCCCAGATGGGGAAAAAGCCCATCAAATCTCCACCGCTGACCACGTCAGAACCTGTCTCCTTTGCACTGCCCAGCTGCACGTCAGAATCAATTGGGGGGATGCTCATCACAACCAGAAACTCTTCCACTTCCAACTGGAGCGAAGAGATTGGTATCGCTGAAATCACAAACAGGTTCCCAACCCAGATGTCTTTACCTCTGAAAGAAACTGAAAGAGCAGCAGAGGAGGAAGCCCATCAAGAGCTAAAGCATGCCCAGATAGTGGCTGCTGGCAAACCAGAGTTGCCAGATGAAGGGGAGAGACCAATGTCAAGCAGTCAGAATAAGACTGTACCCAGTGGACACGCACAGCCAGGTACAGTGCATTTTCCTCCATTCTTTCTTTAAGTTCCAAAGGGGACCTGCTCTCAAAAAAGTCCATCTCTGCGTGCCTTTTAGGAGAGGGGATTGCCCGTCAGTTCTGATCACAAAAATGTTCTTGCAGGGCTGTGCAAATCGGTACGGTCTTAACCTCTGTCTTCTTCCTACATCACACAGATCTCGGATACCTGTCCATAATACTTTCTATTCTGCTTTCTTTTCCCATCATGTTGTACACGAAAATCTATAGCATGTTCTTCTAAAACATTTCAGCTGATAGTTCATCTAAGACTTCTCTTTTTTTAAGTTAAAGATCTGCCAACACTCGAAGAAGGGATCCTTTTTGCCCAAAAACTTATGATCAAAATTGTGTAAGGGTGTCTCATTCTCTGCTACCTACTTCCTACCTCTTTAGAAATACAAGAGGAGCCTTTAGACAATCTCTTGTGTTTTTCACTCTTTGCGATGAACTGCTGTGCTATTGAGCAGCATTTGTATGTAAGACAGAAGATACAGTGTTTCGCATCAGGAGGAATTACTACTGTGAAAATGTGGAAAGCATCTATTTTTCTTGGGGTAGTCATTAAGGTTAGGTCACTCTCCTTACTGGGTAACATAAAATCACTCTCTCTTTCGATTTTCCCCCTATTAGGAGCAGTTGCCCTCGACTCCCCCCAGGATCCTGTTCCTGTCAGTTCTGTGTCTCTTATCCCTCCTCCTCCTCCGAAAAACGCAGCGCGCATGCTAGCCCTAGCGTTAGCTGAGTCTGCACAGCAAGCATCTGCTCAGTCTCAGAAAAAGCCAGGAGATGCCCACTCTGAAAGCACCACTTACGGAGAAACTGAAGCTGCTACAGCTCTGGAAAAGCTCCATCTCTCTGCTGGAGCTCCAGACAAGCTTCACCTGTATACTGATCTGCCTGAGAACCAGCTTCACTTCCAGACTAGTGCACCAGTTGAGCAGGATTTTCAAGCTAGCAGCACAGCTCAGGAGCAGAACCACCCTCCAGGTGCACCTGGAAGTCAGGACCCCCAGCCTCTTCACACCAGCGTGCCTGGGGATGTGCCTGCTAGAAGAGATGCAGAGCAAGAGCAGCCCAGCTACCTTGCTGGTCAAATGGAGAACAAAGAGCAGTTCCCAGCCCCTGCTGAGGACTGGGAGCAGACACGGCAGCACGCTCCAGGGGCACTGCCCGACTGGGAGCCACCTACAACCGACTTACCTATGGATAAGCCCCACGTTCATGCATGCACGTCTGGGGACAAGCAGCTCACTTCCACCTGTTCAGCTGATGACAAACTTGAGACTCCTGTAACTGCTGGGGAGAAAAGCACCCCAGTCCCAGTGCCGTATCTGACAACCATCCAGACAGCAGCAGCTGAGCCTAACCGTGCACCAACATGTCAGCATGCAGCTGGTCCAGCCCTAATTCAGGCAGATGGCACTGCTGCACAGCGCACACCCACAGGCAGCCAGCCCACCCCACCGCAGAGGCAGGATCACCAGTCTGCAGTGGGACAAGTGCCAGCAGCCTCTGCAAAAGCATCCAGCAATTCCAGCCAGGTATGTGGATGCGCCCCTTGCTCGGCCTTGCACCTGTTTGCCAGTGCAACACCTGTGCACAGCTCCTATGTAATTATAGGGGACTGAAGTCAGGGAGAGTCGCACTCAGTCTCGCCCCTGGAAGAGGCAAGAGGCTCCTTGCAAGTTACAGGGAATTGTGAGTGTATGGCAGAGGCACAGCCTGACAGGAGTGCAGCACAAAATTGCCTAGGTGAACATAAAGTAATGTCCCAAATACAGTTGCTCTCAGAAGTTTTGAGGGGATGGAGGGGAAGGGGGAAGTATTTGCTGGGGTTACTGATTCAGCGGATGGCATTTCTGAAGTGCTCAGAACCAAATAATTGACAGATATTCCCAGTGAGGGAATTGCCTCTAACTTCTGATCTCTTCCCAACAGGTTTGGGGTGCAGCTGCACCTGAAAAACCACCTGAGCCTACTCCTGGTTTTGCCACAGAAAGCACTTCCAGCAGCCACCGCTCCTCCTCTGTACCCAGCAGCCACCAGAGCCGTTTGGAAAAGCCACGGGAGGGTACGAGGGCTCCCCTGCTGCACCTGCGCTCCGAGTCTGTCCCTACTCACTCCTCCTACGGCTTCACTCCGCCTGTCCCACCTGTGAGAACACTGGAGAGCAAAATAGCTGCCGCCATGCACTCCAACAACACTGACGCGATCAATAACTCCAACTACCACGCCTTCCTGGCTTCCTCCATGCTGGCCTCCTCCGTAGAGGAAGTCCTGCTGCCTCCTCCAGCACCGCCACCACCACCTCTGCCGCCACCACCTCTTGCTCCGCCGCCGCCCCCCAAGCACGCCTCCCTGCAGTCCATGTATGTGCCGCACCCCAAACCCGAGAGCATCCTGGAGCCCTCCGGGCCAGACGTCTACCTGCACCACAAGCCGACCTCCATCCACCAGTACCGACCTGAGAGCGTCCCTCCTCACGTGAGCTATCACAGCAAGCCAGATCAGCACCCAGCCTACCCTCCTCGATCGGAGACACCCACTTCCGCGAGTGCTCGCTACAACACCTACACAAACCAAGGGAGGAGCAGCTCTGCTGTCTACTCCAAACCTCGCAGCCGGATGGAGTTTGCGTCCTCCGTGAGCCCCACAGGTCTGCGGAACGCCGCCTACGCCGAGGACCCTCCACCCTACCCCACCATCCGTAGGGTTCAGTCGCTGCACGTTCCCACTCCGGCCGCCTCTGCCATCCGCTCCGTCCCCATTTCGCGCACCGAGGTGCCTCCAGACGATGAGCCACTGTTCTGCCCGCGGCCCCTCTACCAGTACAAGCCATATCAGCCTCACTCCGACTACCACGTCACTCAGCTGCAGCCTTACTTTGAGAACGGGAGGGTGCATTACCGCTACAGCCCTTATTCCAGCTCCTCCGGATCTTCCTATTACACCTCTGCCGATGGGAACTTCTATGACCTGGACCCCTACAGCACCATGCGGGTCAGGCCTTTCCACCCGCTGCACAGCCGCGACTTCACGTCCTACGAGGCACGGCTTCACAGCAAGGGCTTGCACCGCTACCCCGGCCTGTCTGCCTACCCACGGGGCGGCCTCATCGGCCACCTGGCAGGCAAGGAGCACAGCTTCATCAGCAGGGACGTGCCTCCTGCCCCGGACATCAAGCACATGTACATGTCGTGGGACCTGGAAGACATGGAGAAGTACCGCATGCAGTCTATTCGCCGCGAGAGCCGCACACGGCAGAAAGTGAAAGGGCCACTGATGTCGCAGTATGACAACGTGACCCCGCTGCTGCCAGAGGACCCGGGAGGGCCGGATATCATTCACTTGCGCAGCAAGTCAGACCCTGGGAAGAGCGGGCTACTCACTGTGGCGGAAGGGAAGGAGGGGAAGTACCCGGCCAAGGCAGCTACACCTGACGGGGAGGAACGTTACTACATGCAGCACCCTGAGCCAGAGCTGGACAGAGCCCACTACCACGGCGCCTACGGGAACGGGCAGCCGGAGAAGCCGTCCCTCCCCCAGAAGCAGAGCAGCATCCGCAGCAGGAAGCTGCACGAGCCGACCTGTGGCGCCAGCGACCACCGGCCACACCTGCAGCAGGAGCCGAGCCACAGGCAGCCTTCTGAACCCAAAAACGGACCCCCTTATCCTGATTACAGGCCCAAAGGCGCCGAGCCCACCGAGCCCATGGGCTACCAGCACTTGGGCAGGAAGTACATCCTGGCAAACCAGGACACCCTGAGACTAAACCACAAGGAAGTGAGGCTGGCGGAGGACAGGCCAGATTTGGAAAGGTCTCGAGCCAGGCCCAGCACATCCATTGAGAAACACCCCAGAGATGGCTACAAGGAAGAGGAGCACGCAGCCTCCCCCATGGCACCGCCGCCTTCACCTGAACGGAGCCACAGCCTCAGGGTGCAGCACCGCGAGTCCGTGGAGAAGGACTCTGCCCTCTTCTACCCGTACCAAACCCTTGGGAAACGCCAAAGCACTATGACTGTGATGTCCCAGTATGATAACGTGGAAGATTACCATACCATGCCTCAGCACCAAAGAGGGGGCTATGCTGGAGAAGGGGGGTGTGTGCCCCCCGCTTTTACCCATGTGCACAGTAGAATTTACGCCACGGCCCTCGGCCAGGGGGCCTTCCTTCCCACAGAGCTGTGTTTGCAAAGGCCTGAAACAGAGGTCCATGTTGAGTGAGCACACGGAGGTAAAAGAAATAATGGAAATAATTGAAATAATAGAGTTTTAAACAGCCTCTGCTGGACAGTGGACTGTTTTATTTTTTCAGCGATGGAAAAAAAATAAAAATAAAAATAAATTCCTGCCCCAATGAGCAAAGCAAACCCACCTTCAGCCCCATCCCTCCCAGCCCACCACTCACCGTTTTTATGTAGTAGAGATATAGCTTTTTCATGTCATTTGAGACAACTGGAACGACAGGGCAGGCTGTTGGCGCACAGATATTGCCAGAGAGGACAGGCAGAGCTGAAAGAGATGCTGCTGGGGTAGGGGAAAGGAAGTTTTTTCTTTCCTGGATTTAACATTGGCCATTATTACCACTTCCTCACCATGCCTCCATTATCCCATGCATGACAGACTGTGCATGCTGCTGTTTTTGTGAGCCCCATGTGTTGCCTTTCCCACTGTTAGCTCCCAAGAAAGATTCTCCATGACGTGCAGGAACTGCTTCCCCCCCCCTCTGAGGTTATGCAGGAAGAGCAGGTGGAAAGCTGCTGGAGCAGGGGGAGACCTCCTGAACACTTTCGTCTTGATCAATGCCAAGGTCAAGCCTCTCCTTGAATGATTATTGCTTAGGCATAGCAGGTCCACTTCAACTGCTTTGAAGTGGGTGTGAGCCTATTTTGACCTCAGCCTAGTGAATAGGCTCTGAAGCAAATCCAAAATACAGCACACTTCCTAAATTTCTTGCTTAACAAGTTGCTTCTGCCTACCTGAAATCAAATTACTTTGAAGGTTCTCTAGCATAAGCAGAGGTCTGCTGTAGAAGCTGAGTAGATCACAGGTTTACATTTCTCATACCAAAAGCCAACACAAGAAAACAACAGACACTTGGGAGCAGCACATCCATTTCATGCCAACCCTTTATGCTGCTGGGCTAGCTATGGTGCAGACAATTTAATCCATATTGTGGCTAGCCAGTATCCTCTATCTACAGAATGAATAAGATCTCCATAGTGTTACGCCCAGCTTGTAAATTGGAGCACAGTTACTAGCTGGGAATGAGTGTGCAAGTACTGAGTTACCTGCACAGCCAGCTCTTTGCCCTGGGCCAGAACCTGCAGCTCTTAGATCAGGGAAGTGCTCCTATTGACCTTAAGCTGAAGGCTGCAGGACACAGCTTTCTGTAAGCTTTCAGCTCTGTGTTGGCAAAGGGATCCCTGTGAAGTCATAGCACATGCGGAGCAGTTACGTGCTGTGAAATAACATTCCCTCCTGTATCACAAGTGTAGATGATACCAGTATTCAGTTAGAAGTAGGGACAGAAGGCCAGTGCACTCTGTAATACACCAATATCTCAGTCCTAAGTATTTAAAAGCTTTCTGTACTGTAAGAGAAGTCAGGCACCCACCCTGTGCAGCCTCCCAGACTTCCCAGCACCAACTCCAACCCCACCTTACAAAGCACATCCGTTTCATTAGACAGGACTTGCAAGCAATACTTGAGATTTAGAATTTTTAAATGCTCACTGATAAATACCAATTCCTGTTCTGTGTGGCTGAAGAACTTCTCTACCCATTTCGAATCTCTGATGTTGTATTAAAAAGCTGGAGGTCCTGCAGTTGGGACACAGCTGTGAAAGTTAAAGGGAGCTGACATCAGTTGTGTTGGTTTTGTTTTGTTTTTTAACAGAAGTTTCATGGCTATTTTGAATCATTAAGATCTGCTTCTTGCAGCTGATCTGTCTTCAGATGTTTGCTTCTTGTAGCCTTGTCTGGGGCTGTTTCAGTAACAGTACCTTATGGTCCTATTTTGTTGTGCAAAGCTGATGTTTTAAGCGTTCTGTCTAGAAGAGTTGTTACATGTTCCAGAAGTAAATCTGGAAGTCAGAAAAAGAAAAAAAGCACTGTGAGCCAGGTTACCAGTAATTACCAGGTAGAAGGGTTTGTTTCTTCACGGGGAAACGCTATTTGTAATGTTTGCTTTTAAGGAATAACAAAAAGATGCACAGAAAGAAGGTGTTAGGTGAGCCATCCCCAGCCCTCAGTGCAAGAGCTGGGGGGGGTCTGGGTTGAGCACCCCTGGGTTCTGTTAGGATGAGAAGCAGTCCTGTAGTGCTGAGCACAGACTCCCATGGCTGCTGAGGTCTCCATCTGAACGAGGGACTGTGCTTTGGTTTGGGCTATTTGGGATTCAGGTAATGAGAGCTGGAGGTCAAACCTCTCTCTCTGTGAAAGCCTTAACTCCCCCCTCCTGCCCCCAGCACCTAACTTCCATTTTGGCCTTATCTAATCAGGACTATCCTTCTGCTACGAGGGGGCTGAAATCAGCTCCCACCAATTCTAAATGCCTCTGGATTTTCCTGTGCAAAGCCACTATCTCCCTGTAGATACCAAGTGCCATCCCTGGACAACCGTTCCCCACAGTGCTCCTACCCCCCAAGCCTGCCATCTCCAGTTCCCTGTGCTGTACCAGGTGCTGAGCATCCCCTTGGGAACAAAAGCTTTTAGCACCTTCCAAACAAGCTCATAGAAGCGCACATCCATGCACCAAGATGGGTGCTGCAAACTTCCCTTAAGAGAAGAACATGTCTATTGAAAGAAAGGCACGCAGCAGAAACCCCTAGCATCACCCCAGCCTTGCACAGCCACGTGAGCACGTACTCAGGGCTGTGCACTCCCAAAGAACAGCCTACCACCAGTGCAGGACCACAGCTAAATAACACGAGGTTCAGCCCCAGGCACAAATACAGATCAGCACTTCTCTTTTAGCTTTGGTAAACACTGCTAGGATTCAGCAGTCATCCCCACACCCACCCCATGCAAAGCCATATAGCCAACTATGCAGTTCTGCTCTTGCACTGTGGTTAAGCTGATGGTCTTTAGTTTTTCCATGCCCATTAATTGATTCGCAGTCAGTCAAGATATCTTTCCAAAATCATATCAGCTATGAAAGGGCGTTGTGCATCAGAGCAAGGAGAGGAGGTTACACCAGATGTCCCAGGAAGGTAAGTTGATAATGCAGTTCTCAGCATCCTAGCAGAGAAATGGGAGGGAGAGCAAGGGGATGGCAAGGCAAACAAAGAACAATCCATTGCAAGGCCAGTTCTGCTCAGATAAAGTAATTTACTGCCTAACCTCAACTCCCAGCCAAGATGACAAGCAGCGTGATCTAAAATAATTCCCCTATACTTACCACAAGTAAGTATACCACAGTATCTACATCTTCAATCTCCACCTCCTAAGTTCTTAGCTGAGTTCTCCCTCATGCAATGCAAGAGTCAGGGCTCTGAATTTCCACCTCAACCTTGGAGCAGTGAGTGACCCACAGGAGACCTGTGAGTAATGAGGACCTGACCCCTAGAAAGTCATTTCTGATTTTCAGAAGAGGCTTATCAGGTGAAATCTATATGCAGAAGTGACAGAATGCCCACAACTTGGTGCCTATGTCTTTCCAGAGATGCTCATTTTGCGCTCATCATTTCAAAGGGGTTGGTAAGGATTGTATAAATGGCTACACAAAACCAAAACCAACCCCAAAACATGCTGTTCCTCTTTAACCCCAGAAGGGACAGAACCTCACATGCACTCTCCATTCAGCAGTGGCCAGGGCATTGCCTGAAGCGATGCGTAGGTAGGAAATCTGGATGAGAAATTGTTTCAGTTTCTTTTGTTACAGCGGCTTAGGCATGCAACACTTTTCCCCAAACCTTGTGCTACAGAAACCCGGTATTGAAGGCATGGTCTGGTGTAAGCAACCATCCAGCAAAATACCTTTGTGTGCAGTCTTGCCTCATCCAGTCTGTGGGGGTGGCGGGGGGTGGGGGGAGGACAGGGTTGTTTTGCTGTTCATTTTCCTGCTGTAGAAGACTTGGTTTTTCTTTCCCTGAGCCGCATGAGAGAAACGTCCCAGAAAGTCTTGGGTTACCTTTGGAGTTCCCTTCACTCTAATTTATATAGTGTCTTTTTTTTTTTTTTTTTTTTTTTTTTTTTTTTTTTTTTGTGAACTGGTGTAAAATGTATATGCTGACAAGCTCATGTATTTTTATGTAAATATTTTTTGTGGTTTCCCCACTGCCCTCCTCTGTAAATATTTAGAATTCTCATATTCTTCTCACCTTGTATGATGCAGATGTGGTTTTGTTTCTGTTTTTTATTTGTACTGTAATGCAACAATCCAGACTGAGGTGTCTTGTGGTATTAAGCAAAAGCAACAGTCCCACTGAGCTCACACTCAGATGTACAACTTGACAGCATTAATCAAGCCAGGTTAAAAACTATTCCTGTGTACGTGCATGTTTGTGTCTCTGCCTCATTAATTAACAGTAAAAACAAAACAAACCCTGGAAAGCCATTTCATGGCCACAGCAGGGATCTCTAAAGCCACAGGACGAGGTGACTTTGTGCTCATGTGCCAATACCCCAAACTGCTGCTGATCTGCCCAGTCAGACTGCAGCAAACAACAAACCAGCCTGGGCATTTTTAGGTTGCTACAGGGCAGCAGAAATAGCTCAGCACAGAAGGCGTTGGGGCAGGGAGGTGGGGATGGACAGATGGCAGCAGCTCTGTGGCCGTTGCGCCCTGCCGGGGGGGATTTTGGCACTGCAGGCATATTGCTTCCTGTTAATTAATAGCAAAAGTTGTTGGGAGGACTTTCAGCAGGTCCTCTCTGTGCACCTGTAATGACTGGGGTTTGTCATGATGGGACAATGGTGAGGCTACTGCTGTGCTAACTTCTGCTTGGGATAGAGGGACCCTGGGAAGGTCAACAGGCAGCCTCCCCCACCCCAAAACTGCGTGCTGAGGTCAGCAGCAGTGCTTCTAACACTGGCTCCTAACACGAGATCAGCAAAGGCAGAACAAGGTGAACAAACACAAATCACTTTGCTCAAGTCCACAAGAACTCATTTCATTTGTGGCAACACTATACATTAATTGCTAAAAAGATCGGGTCCACGGTCAAACCTGTCCCCTAAGACTCAGCTTCAACACGGAGGGCTGTAGGGTTGCTCTGGTGGTTTGGCCTCAAGCCACAAAAGCAAAGCAAGCAAGGGCACAGCTTGGAGCAGCCCCCAG